AACATGTTTTGTTTTATTGTCTGTTTAAGTAAAGTGGAATTTCCTGTTTAACTTCTGCATTGTAGCCAAATGAAAGCCTCTATGAGCAGAAGCCCGAAGAACCAGCTCCCGTCCTGCCATCATCGGTGACTGAGAGTACTACAACTAGGAGCAAACCCCATACTTCTCGATTTGAATATGTAGAAAGTGCACCTGCTCCTAAGACTGGGAGCAGCTCAGAAGACAACCACATGAGTGGACATGTTGCACCCCCAAAGTCATCGAACTTCTTTGCTGAATTTGGGATGGACAGTGGATATCACAAAAAATCTACATCCAATTCATCCAAAGTGCAGGTAACTGTTTTATTCAGACATTTATTGTAACTCATGAATATGTGAACTCCATTGAGCAAGTATTTTGTAAAGTCAGAACTACAAAGAGGAACATTTAGTTCCTCCATTCCACCTTAATATATACTACTCAGGGGAAGTATTTTGAGATTGAAACAAACAACTTCTAGTTCTTTTGGGAGTGTGTATTCCCACTGTTAGGTCATCAAAATCTGTCTACTTGCTATGAATAATTAGTTTGTTACTTTTTTTTTACCAAAAACACTGATGTGTCCATGTTGAAGCCTTATCAGTGAGTAACACAAGAATTTGAACTGTTATATCCATGTTTGGGTGGTAAAAAAGTCCCGTCGTATCTGCATATAGATTGGGTGTACACATTTGAAGATGAATAAAATGTTCTGAATTCTCTTGGATGAAATGTTAATTTCTCATGATGTATATAAATACTTTGACTCCTGCATAGCTTTCTGGCAGCCAATGGATTGGTGATCCTATCCCATTGATGCTGCTCTAGCTCAAGAAATCTCCAAACTGTTGGTTACTTTATGTTAATTTGGGCATGGTTGCTGTGCACAGAAATTTTTTGATAGATAATTTGTTACCAATGCATTTTAATTTGTAGCTAGCCCTAAAATATTTCATCTCGTTCTAACCATGACAAGTCTACGTTCTCACTGATACCATGCTGCTTTTGCATATTTAATATAGGCATAACAGATCATGTGTCTGTTCCTTTTTTTAGAAGAGACTTTGTTGCATACTACTGTACATGTTATAGTAAAGATGTTACAATCTTATTTAGATTTCCGTTTTTTGACCCCCAATTTCCAAGTGACTTCCAAGTAGTTTATGTGAATTAATTGGTTTCAATGTTGTTCAGATTGAGGAAGGCAGTGAAGCAAGACAGAAATTCTCGAATGCAAAATCAATTTCATCCTCTCAGTTTTTTGGTGATCAAGCCAGTTTTGAAAAGGACGCTCAAGTCTCTCTCCAAAAGTTTTCTGTAAGTACTACTTCGTCCCTATTTCATAGTCACCATAATAATTGTTACCGTGTTGAATCTTACACTCCTCCCGACTTCAACTCGTTGCAGGGTTCTTCTGCCATATCAAGTGCTGATCTATTTGGCCATCCAGCAAACAATCCTAGCGTGGATCTCAGTGCTTCAGATTTGATCAACAGAATCTCATTCCAGGTAACAGTTGGGTTGAATGGATTTTGTTTCCTTGGCATACTTGTGTTAACCCATTGCTGTGTTTGTCTCCGCAGGCCACTCAGGATCTGTCTTCTCTCAAGAACATGGCAGGGGAAACCGGGAAAAAGTTGACATCGATGGCATCCAACATCATCACTGATCTTCAGGACCGCATCCTCTGAGCTTAACTTACAGTAAAGTAACCTTTACATTGCTTCAGTGGCTGGCTTCTCCCGGCAACCCTTGTGACAAACTGGCCTGGCCTGCAGTTCTGTCTAGGAGTTTGTAGGCGTCTGAGAACTTCCTGGCAGATCTGTCTACGAGTTCGGAAGCATCTGAAAACTTGAAGTGTAAGTTGGAGAGAGAGAGGGGGAAAGAAGGGAACTTATGGCAAATGCTGTACTTGGCTAAAGTCATGTATGCATCTGGAGCTGTAACGGAAATGTCTTTTTGAAGTTGGTTTTATTTCGGTTTGAGATATATACTTTTGCTTTAAATGATAATTACATGAGTAGTACATACATGTTTTCCAATTATCCGTGTTTGCAATTTCATCCTTGGTCGGCCTTAAGCCTAGCTAGAGTGCAAGCTGTTTGCCTAGAAATGTCTTTTTGCCGTTGGTTTTATTTCCGTTTGAGATACTAGTATACGTGCAAGTGCGACTAAAACATATTTATGGTTGTGAATTGTGGGATAGACGACGTTTTATTGTAATTGTAATAGAAAAAAGCTTTGAAAATATTGGATGTATCAAAGTATTTAGAACTGTTTTTTTTAAGTGTGATAGGAAATTAACCATGATTACATAGTACAAATCTATATTTAAAATCCCTACTAGTGCTCTCCCTCGGGCGGACCTTGCATGTTGTAACAGAGACATGTATGCAACTAGTGTGGAAATATGTACCTGCACCCTGATATGTACATGGGAATTGCACTCTTGGAGTTACTAGTATTTCAAGATAGAAGAGGCACATAAACGATTTGATTTCTTTAATTACACAGTACAACACATGCGCTCACTACGCACGTACACTCACACACTTTAAACGCATGCATGCATGCAAACCCTACCCCTATGAGCATCTTCGAAGATCGGGTCGGTAAATTCTCAAAAAAAGTCACGTTTGATAGACAACTCACACCTACAAGCATTCTCCTCCGCTGTGAAAATGGTGATGCAAGTGGGCTAGCTTGCGAACCCACAAAATTAAGCTTATATGTGGGCTCGTGGGGTAGCTCACTTGTATCCATATGAGAAAAAGTGTGTAAGTAACGCTATACTTTAGTTGTAACCCTAGATTTTTCCAAGAATGCCTTTAGCTCACTAGTAGATTCGGGTCACCACCACAAAACATATAATGCTATAAATAGATCAAAGATTAACTTTGGGTTGAGACAGGAAGCACCCGTACTACACACTCCATCTTGAAATATAAAGAATCCAAAGTTCAAAATTTGTAAGGTACTCTAGATCCTCAACCTCCTCTCTCCTTTGTCTTGGTAGAAAATACTAAGATTTCTTTCAAATTTGGCATCACCCAAGACAACCAACTGATAACTAAGTGAAGGGATGGTGACGCATAAGAGGGGGGAGCTGAATTAGGCAACTTAAAAACTACATGGCCAACTAAAAACTACTTATCAAAACCTATAAAGGATATCTATCCAGATGTCCACTATAGTTTCTCTAAGTGTTTACTATCTCTACCATAAGAGAGTTTTTTTCTATCAACTAACCTAGCAAGCTAGACTAGGAAGGGAAATCACATAACAAAATAAATGCAAGTAACACGAAAGCTTAACTAAGATAGAGAATGCAAACTCCTATTGACTGTCGATTTTTCCTAAGGTATCGAGGAGCTTCTCACTTGTCACTTCCCTCAAGTCCTCATTAAAGCCCCTCACTAGGACTAAGCTCTCGGTCAGATAACTCTGTGGATAGCCCCGGACCTTCCCCACGTGCAAGTGGGTCTCTGAGATGGCCTCTCTCAAACCGCTTTTCTGTCGTCTTCACTATCGAGCTTTCATCAGCTCAAACGCCATGAGCTTCGTTCCCTCCGTTATAGGCTAGGCGGCCACACCATAAATACGGTTGGTATGATCTCATAAGATTACAAACCCCTAGTATACAACAATGGTGCTTGCGAGCATGGAGTGGAATATGTTTAGAAAGCTAGAAGGTCAAGTATTATGAAAGGGAGTACGCACAACTAACACCATGGCAGCAAAAGACTTCACGACACAGACTTCCATTGGTACCCAAAATACAAGTTCCGAATCCGAGTCAGCGTGTTACCACAACCCCTATTGGTTCATATATGGTGTGTTTGGTTTAAGGAATCACTCCATTCTAAATGAGGTGGCCCATCATGAATCTATTTCTCAAATTTAGTGAAATGACTTCATTCCTCGTACTAGTATTAGCTTGTGAGGAATAATGTGATGATGCATCAACCTATTCCATTCCACATACCAAACAAAAAAGTGAGGAATAAATAACTCGTTCCTAGAACCAAACATACCCGTATTGCTGTCGGTTCTTCTACCTATGTACGTTGTGGTTGCTCGTCAGTCGCCAACTTGCCATCTGTTGTCATCTTCGCCTCGTCTTCGATTTCCCTATTGTACCTGTCACTGCTCTCCACAGAGAGAGAGCTTGGAGCCAAATACAGGGGGGGGGCATTTGTCAAATCCAGACCATATAGACTAACTGACTAACCTGGTGGGCTAAATTAGCTAGCGGACTTGCACATCCGCAGCATATATCCTCTTTTTTTTTTACAGGCCAGGGGGGAGCCCTCTATGGTCAATACGTGGCTCCGTCGTTGTTCCTACGGTGCGGTGCTTTGTCTTCCTGCGCTTCCTTAATGCCTTGGACACACCATCATCAGCAGACTTCCACTTCTTACGCTCACCACCATCGGCAGACTTCCGCTTCTTCGCCCTATTCGCTTGGCTTATAAGTCGTACTTTTTCAGCCAACGAACAGTATTTTTCTCTCACAACAAATCAGCCAACCGTGCTTTCAGTCATGGCTTATCAGCTAAGCGAACAGGGCAAACTCTCACGCCCTCCTCTTCCTCTGCCTTCTTCCCCACCACCTGTGTGAAGCAAAGGTGCATGAATAACATTTGTCAAGCAAGTGAAAAGAAAAAGGTATACGTGTTTCACGAGAAAAAAAAAAGGTCTTTGTTTATACAAAAGGTGTATCTGTTAGTCATATTAAACTTGAAGGCACGAAAAGGAGAATATAAAATACACAGGCATGTCAAGCATATCTTGGTGCATGGCAAATTGATAGCAACAATGCTGTTTTACACATGGTGCTTTCTTTCTATTCTGTGTTTTTAGAACATCCACGGCGCAAGGTAGAGTGAGCAACAGCCAGGGTACAAATATATAGAGTTGCGCTCAAAAAATAGTGAGTGGCTGCATTACAAAAAAAACACGGGGGTATTTCCATGCTCCTAGTCTATGCGACGATTGGACTCAGCTAGAGCTGTTTGCACGCCCTTTCTAGTGCCTTTATTGTCGTTTCTCAACTCATTGTTGAACATGGACTCTACTCTTTTCGTTCTCTTTGCCTGAAGTGCACATCTGACATCCCCATAGATGTTGCTCCACAACAACCCCCGATTTCATCTACTAGAAAAAGCAAGATAAGAAGAGTTAAGTCTACTATAACTCAGCTTATCTCTACAAAGTACTCCCTCGATTCCAAATCATAAGACGTTTTGGCTTTTAAGTACAAAGTTTTTACTATGCAATTAGATATACGCTATGTCTAAATGCATAGTAAAAGCAATATATCTAGAAAAGATAAAACGTCTTATAATTTAGAATGGAGGGAGTAGCAATCAAATCTAGCACTGAGAACACTTCGTATTACAAGAACTATCAATTGATTTCCGTTAACATAGGAATGAGGTCATCCTTACTTTGCAAGGAAAGATTCCTGTGACAACAGTTGTCTTTGCGTTTATGTGGAAGTTGGAGTAAGTGGCAATGGTTCTCATTCTTTCGCGGAGAGCCTCCCTGTGTAACTGCATGATCAACTTCTAAAGAGTCACAGTTGTCTTTGCATTTATGTGAAAGTTGGAGCAAGTGGCAATTATTGCCATTCTTTCTAGGAGAGCCTCCATGTGTAACTGCATGGTCAACTTCTAAAGATCCACATGTGCTTGGCTTCATTTCCTTCCTGTTCAGTGATCCCATTGGGCTGACATCTTTCATCTTACCTGATGGCTCCCAACACCCATCGGCATGGTCATTCTTGTCGCCTGATCCAATAAGACAGCTAGGTCCTTGTGTTCCTGTTGATGTTTCACCCAGCCTGCAACCTTCTTCCAGTTTATCTGATGCATCCGACAAGGTATTGCCATTTCCATTCCTTTGTAACTGTTCAGATAGGTCTGGCAAAGTAGGTCCATTTCCTTGCCCATGAGAAGATGTCGCCTCCTCTTCTTTGTCGGCGAGAGTAGGTCCATTTCCTTGCCCATGACAAGATGCCGCTCTTCTTTGTTGACGAGAGCAATTTCGCCTTGTTCTTCCAAGCTCACTGAACCATCCAGTGGACACTTGTCTTCTTTCTCAAGTAAGGTAGAGAACCACGGGGATGAACCATGCTTCACATAGAAAAGAAGATATGCTGCGTTTTCCAAAGCGCTAGCCACGGAACATTTATAGACCTGCACAACTGAATGGTCATAACCATGCAACTGAACGATAGCTTAGAGAACAAAATAATATTTTACTGACAGGAGGTAAATTCTCTTGCCTTGTCATCGTTAAATTTGTACCAATCAGCTTCAGATGACCGGATATAACAAACATAATGACCACTGCCATATGGACCGAGGTGTTCTACAACTACATACAAATCATACTTCTGCAGTGTCTGCAACACAGCTGGACGTGAGCCAAATAATGGTTGGGGGCTAAAATAAAATTATAAGAAACTGCAGCTCACATCATCCGAAGAACTCATGAAGGAGTTGATATCCAGCTCCAACAGATACTTGACCTTGTCCCAAATCTTAGACACAGAATTAGTGAATCGCTTGAGATGGATTACAAGCACTTCAGGCGCCTGCTCTATCTTGAAGTGTTTTTCCATGCTCACACGAGATTTGCATCCATCACACATGAAGTCTTTGATTAACTCAGTATTTGTAAAGGATTGCAAAGCATCCATTAGAGTCTCCACCATGTTCAAATCCAAGCTTAGATCGAGAAAAGGATCAGATTTATCTGAGCAACGGTCGCACTCTGGACATCGCAACTAAGTAAAAGTAGGGAAAAGTTAGTATATAAATATATAATCATTAAATAACAAAGCATTTGAGATCGTCAGGATAAACAGAACACACCTGGCTTTTCAAGCACCCTCTGAATATTTCTTTTACCACACTACCTTCTTCAGTCGAAGAGGATTCTTCAGAGGACCTGGGAGCAATGGAGTCCTCATCCAATTTATCAAGCAAACAGCGGAGGAACTCCTGCGCATCTTGTTGTACTCCACTCTTAAAATCTGACGAAATTGCTGCCAATCACACGTGAAGAAATATATTCAGTTCAAACTATCATCATCCCATTAAACTACAGTTGAATCATGTGTTTCAAGTAGTTCCAAAAGTCTCAAATTTCCACAAGACTAAACAACTACAAGGGAAAATACTGCAAAGGAAAGGGCAAAGAGGTTGGTTGGAGCGGCTAGAAAGGTTGGTTCGAAAAGCGTACATTTCAGGCGATTAATGAAAATCTCAGGGTAGAAAGAACTTCCAGAGAGCCTGATAGATTCATTGACATGCTGTTTTAGGGAGCAGTAACAACAGAATCCAATAGAAGCACCTACAGAATCCCATATTAAATCACATAACACTTAAGAATGGAGACAAGAGTACTGTACTTCGTAGTAAAATTCACTGTGAACCAATCCCCATGAATGAAATCCACGTCGGCTCAGTCAATAGCAAAAATAGAAGCAAGCATAACAAACTCGGGATTGGCCTGCAACTGCACATTGCCAAGTCTGACCACCAATACGATACGACGCCTAATTTGTAATTTGTTCTCCATCCATCTGTTTCTCTTCTTCTTCAGCTCGCCACTTAGTCAATCAGTCTGTCTGTCTGTCACTGTCTCTTCTTACGCGATGCTAGCATCAATAATGAAAAACTAGTGGAAGGTAATGTCAAAAGCATTTGAGTAGTTTGCCACAACAAGAAAACTGAATTAAATTACATTTTTAAATAACTTGCCACAAAGAGAAAATCTAAATTGCTACAAAAAAATGGGTACAATCTAAAAACTATCTTAGAAACAAGAACCTAGGGGATTCCAGAATTTTAATCAACAACAGTAAAGATAACCAAAAATCGCAAGCCCTAGAAGACAAATTAGATTGAAAATACAAGTGAAGATTAAAGTAGATGAGAATCCAAGTAAAGATTGTTGTGCATTGCCTGTAGATAAAAAGGCCTATTGACAAGGAAAATAAATCATGCTAGGGCCTGTTGGTATGCTGCTATGTGGAGACAGCAAATGGGCAGGCCGAGCAGACCTGTGGAGTGAAAAGCGAAAAATTGCAGAGAGAATTTGATTGATGAACTGCAAGAGCTGCATACCAAAATGATTTGTAATTGACAGAACAATAAAAAAAGCTAAAGACAGTAGCTGCAATCAATCTAAAACTCAGCTATAAATTTTTCTGATTGCTAGCATAGATACAAGAGCTAGGACATCCAAGCAACGAGGGATTATATAATGTATCAATTATTCAACAAGGCATAATGAATTGATTAGCTCACTATTCATCCAAATAAACAAGCTAGTGATACGCCGATGACACCTATCGGACTGAATTTAATTTGCTGCGGTCGTTGCTTACCAGAAATAAGAAGCAAGGTGGTGTGCGCTACCCTGCTGCACAACAGACACAATACTCCAACTTGAGATGCTGCACTTGCATTGCCGCTGGGCTGCAATGGCTAGCTGATGAGCAGGTATACAACAAGAATCCTGAGCAAGCTCCTGCGACTACTCAATGTGAAATGCAACAACTGTAGCAAACCAAAACTGCACACATCAATTGCAACAGGTGGTAAGTAAACAAATTTGATAGTGCAAGTTAAATGACTAAAATATATATGTGATATATGAACACTTATCACCACTTCAGGTAATGCTTGCATCAATAGAAGATTGGACTGGTTGCTCAGACTCAAAAGAACTTTTATTTAACAAATTGCATTTAGGCTGATTGTTGACTTGAAAGCAGGGCTTTGCTGAATGAGTATAAGACTTCATTGAAGTTGAAGGGCCAATTATATCCTCTAACGTCTTCGTATCAACTTAGAGACAAATGAGACCTACCAAGCTACCATCATCATCATACAGAGGAGTGTTATTGGCCACAATGAAAAATCGTTCTCCTGACTTCTTTTTAACAGGCAACTTCCCAACATTTTCCCATAAATATATTCCCAATAATATTGTTTGCTGCCTCAGCGTCAACAGGATGAACCAAAAATTCAACGGCATCTTGACCAACTGCTTCTGATGTAGAATAGCCATACATTTGTTCCGCCGGTTCCTAGATAAAGATTGGAGTGTTTTGTAAAATAGGCAGTAGCAGTAGGGTTAAACAGTGAGGGAGTAAGTATAGGCTAAATTGCAGATTACATCAACAATTTAACATGCTTCCTGAGCCAACTAACAACAATCGGAATGAAAGGTATCTACAGTAGTAATTACTGTTGTCTAGGACAACCTCCGCATAACGCTTATCTGACATTTGGGCGAACACTCCTAGTGCAGAGTATAGACAACAAAGTGCAAGTAACCTGGCCTGCCCCAGCGCGTGCAGGGCCCTGATGTGCTGGCGGTCAGTGAGCCCGATGCGGCCCACGCGCTGCAGCCGCGACGACAGGGACGGGGCCGCGGGGAGGGCGTGCCGCGACGACAGGGACGGGGCCACGGGGAGGGCGTGCCGCGCCGGCGAATGCTGCGGTGGGCGGCGCGACGCATGGTGCTGTGCGCCCTACTGCTGCTCCGGCACCAGCTTGAAAATCTCCTGCTTGAGCTCCGCCTGGCCCTCCTCTAGCTCCCGTATCTTCGGCAGCAGCTCCTCCACCGCCATCACTGGATGCTGTAGCCACGAAGCCATATTTGGCGGCCGGCTGCGCTCTGAAACGGAAAGGAGGAGGAGGCCGAGCTGCCGAAACGGAAAGGATGAGATAGGCCGCACGAAGGCGTGGGGCAATTACTGGGCCGGGCTCGTTTCAGAGGTGTCGCGCGGTCGCCAGCGAGCGCGACTGGTCGGCAATTAGATTTTGCGAAAATTTTAGAATACATTATACCACGTGACGGAGGGAGTAGGCCGCAATAACAACGGGTTGGGCCGATGCTGACGCTGCGGGCACTCCTAGGCCTTTGCTGGGCTGTCTTGATGCGATGGCGATGGAGAGCGCTGCTGGTTCCCGCTTCGACGATCAGGCCCGGTAGTACACTGCCGGGGACCATGACACTTGGGCCGAGCAGATTTTATGCGCCTCGAACTTTGTGTATACGCTACAAAGGCAGTAGCAGATAGCAGTGACAAGTTCCTGCAGACGAGCGCAGCTACACAGGTGTGCGTGCTCGTAATAAAATGCCAGCGCAAAGAATTTTTGCATCCAAAAATAGAATTCTGTTCCCACCGAGCGTTTGGTTTGAGAGAATCCATCGATTTCTTTTCTTTGCAACGAACAACTTACCATCATCAGTCATCACACGTCAGAAGAACCAACTGCCCATTGGCTTGGATTTGTTTAGCTGATAAGTCATGGCTGAAAGTATTGTTGGTTGATTTGGTGTGAGAGAAAAATATTGTTCGTTGGCTGATAATCCATGGCTTATAAGCCAAACATGATCAGGCGAACATGTTGTATATATTTTTTTTTCTACGGTTATTCAGTCTGTTTGCTTGTTGGTTTCAGTCAGGGCTTACCAGCCATGATACAGTATTTTTCTGTCACAACAAATCAGCATCAGCCGGGCTTATCAGTCCAGAAACCAACCAACGAACAAGCTTATTATATGTATGTTTAGTTAACCAGTCATCAAAGTGGATAGATTATCAGAGAGAAGAAGAATTACAGAACCCTAAATCTTGCTTTCGACGTGTTCTCTCGGTGGGTTGGTGGTTGCCAGAAGATTTCAGCCGCGATCGAGAGGCAACTGTTGTTCCGTGTAGTGTAGTAGTAACGAGGATTCACAAAAGTCAACAAGGAGAATTGTATTCAGACGAGGGGAGGGGAGCATTGCAACGTTCCCCAGACCATACGGCAAGGCACTGGCTGTTGTTCAGTGTTAGTACATTACATTTACATTACATCCGGTTTGCATCGTGTATGTGAGCAGCTAGCGTGCATAATACTGTATTATATATCACTGGTTAAAGCTGCTAACCAGCTGGGTTAGCGATTAAACAAGCTGATAGCACCCATCGATGTTGGCGAAGCCCCAGTTTCGGCACATGGCATGAATCCAGAGAGATATTTTTAACCTCCCCCTCCGGTTCCGGGGGCAGTTAGCCGTTGTTTTCTCACTGTAATGTGGCTTGGTCCTTTATTGCACTGTTACGCGCGCTGACACGCTGCATAATCTCCCTCCCATTGCTCTCCAAACTGTCAACAGCACAACTTGCCAAGTGCGTGGTACTACGAATACGAATGATCCACGAGCAGCATAAATCCTTTCCTTGTGCCCTCGGCGTCAGGAAAGAATTTACTGTTTGTCGAACCAAACCAAACCAATGCAAAGAAAATACTTCCTCCTGATCGATAAACACGTAGTACAACCACAACTTGGCGATGACTGCGATGACCTGAAGATTCTGAATTTCCTTCCAATTGCAAGCCGACACCCAGAAAGATGAAAGAGTCACACGGCAACAGGGCTCCTCTTGGGGGCTGTCCCTTTCCTTTCCTCGCCTAGCTAATATATATCTCCATCGATTCATTCATTCCATTGAACTGCTGTTTTTCTCTCTCTCCCGTGTTGCTTTCAGGTAGAGATTCCAGAAGAAGCATCAGTGATGTAGCACAAGGTTTCTTTCTTTTATAAAATACTAGTCCCACTTCCGAAACCAAAACCAAAAACAAGCCTGTGTTTTCTGGGGAACGGAGACAGTTTTGCTTCCAAAAATTACACAGACGTGTCTTCAGATGGATGGAATGAAACCAGCACACATGTGAAAACTACTAGGAGTACTATTCTTGTATTTCCCTACCCCATTTGGACTTTGTAGCCGGCCGGCAGTCGTCGGATAAGGAAACAAACCAATCTCCATCCATCCCTCCTTGACCCTGCACGCATTGCGTATGGAAACTCGCTCGCTTTCCCTTTCAGAGCTGTTCCAATTGTTTTCCTTTCTTTCGTTTGCACATTCTTGGTGGATTCATTCACATGCGCTCTAGCCTTTCTGACAGAGCTAAAACGGTCTGAAAAAATGTGTGGCAGAGCCTTTCTGACAGGGCCTTCATTCAGAGTTTTGGTTTGTACATACAGTAGTACTAACAATGCAATTTCAGGGGAAACAACGGTCTGAAACTGAAACATGCCTGCCTCTGGTACACACACACACACACACACACACACACACAGTTCACCCAACACGATTGGAGGCATATAATTTTCTCGTGCCGTGCCGGTTCCCGTCCACGCTGGGCAAACATATCTGATAGGAGTATCTCCGGGGCATGGCAAGTCGCGCACGGCAGCGACTTGCCACTGCTTTCTTTCGTCCTTCCTTCCCTTGGTTCATTCTGAGCTTTATTTGGCTTGGTGCGCATAACGGTGGACTCGTCAATGCACGCTGCGCATATCTCCAATTTCATCACGTCGTTTTCAGGCTTGTTTTCATCGGCACGAGCCATCGACAACAAGATCTTCTGAATTTTTTTTTTTTTTGTTGTTGTTGATTCATTCAGGATCCCTTTCTTTCCCTTGTGGTGAATGAAATTGACCAAAAGGCTACTGAACTCGTTCAAAGTCGAAACCACTGTGCAAAGTGGCAGCAGGAAGGATTTCATTGCATCACTGATCCATCAGGAGACAAGAGTGCAGTGCACACTGAGCTGCTGAGATGAAGCAGGTGATTCCTTTGGGGAGACGGACAGGACACAGGATGGCTGGCTTGCAAATCACAGTAGGAGTAGTATTGATACTTAAGAAAGAAGAGTACTGGTGTTATAGCATAGTACTCCTACTGATTAACAAGGATTTGAAAGCAAGCCGGCAAGCGTGCATTCATTGCATTGGCTGCCTGCACTGCCCATTTTTATAGCATAGTACTCCTACTGATTAACAAGGATTTGAAAGCAAGCCGGCAAGCGTGCATTCATTGCATTGGCTGCCTGCACTGCCCATTTTTTGAAGCTGCAAGTAGCATGGAGAACAAGTGCTGTGCTGCTAGCGCGGCTGCGGACCCTGCATTCCTTGGCTCCTCCTCTTCATGTCTGTGTCCCACTGTCCCCTCCCCTGCTAAACTAGGAGTAGTCTACTATCACTCTATCAGATATGTTTCAGGTACTACTACCAGTAACACTAATGGATTAGTTAACAGAGGGCTCCACCTGTTTGTTTATTATTATTATGACACAAACAAGCAGGCAGAAGAATCAGAGGCATGTGAAGAAAGAAGGGCATCTCAAAGCAGGGCCGCAGACGATGGTAGGGCGATGAGGAATCTGACGGTCCCTCGAAAGCGCCTTTCTCTCAGAGGAGATAGGAATCTTTTTCAAAAATTCAAGCTTTGTTTCTGCTCTGCCTCGCCGTGTGTCCGCTGCTACCATGCATCTTGGTCCTTGGAAAACCTGAAAAAGATTAGCGACAGAAAGATTAGGGAGCTGGGGACAGGTGTCGTACTCCTAATAATTCATAACAAAATCAAATTGCATATCAGCTCAGGCAGAAAGTGAAGGAAGATTAGGGAGGAAAACTGTACTGCCAGTTGTTGCATTATCAGTAGACTAGCAGGAGATCCTTTTTTATAGTATTTTCTCTGGAAAGAAAGAAAGTAGCTGCAGCATTATTGGAGGCAGGAAACTAGTAGTAGTCATACAAGAGAGGAAAAACAATGAGGTAGCAGAGGGGGCGACGAAGCAATGGTGGGTGGCAGAGCCGATATGAATGATGGTGCAGCTGCGCAACCGAACCGTTTGTATTTGTATATGATTGACAGCAGCAACAACAAACAAAGACTTGAGCATAGGAGGCAACAGTTGGAGTAGGGCACTAATTACAAATCCAGTGATTCGAGGCATGACATCAGGATCAGTAGTAGTTAAAAACACTGTAGATGGGTCAGGCTTAATTGGTTGATTGTATTCATAACTAGAGAGAATGAGAGATGATCCTAATCTAAAAGTCAACTGTTCCGTTGGCGTTTATTGTCCTCGGAAATATAATCGTCCATGGAAAAGCACATCTCTATCATAAGTTGATCTTTCTTCTGATCCTAGAGTATCTCCACCAATCTGTTTTTCCTTTTTCTTAAAATTTACTATAGGCAGTGGATTAAGAAAGTCCACCCCTCTATTTAGGTAGGACCCATCTGTCAATGGGACGAGTCGTGGTCTCCTCGCATTGCACAGGCGAGGGTAAGACTTGCCACTAACACCCTTCCCCAGACCCCGCACAGAGCGGGAGCTCTCTGCACTGGATACGCCCATCTGTCAATGGGTAGAAATCTCCTTTTCTCCCTCTCTCCCTCTCTCGGTGCCTTCCCAGCAGCGGTGCGGTGACCGGCGTGGCAGAACACGCACAACTCGCCCGCTCAAACTCGACGGCGGCCACGATGTTGCAGAGCCTGCATGCATAGCTTTCCTGCTCAACCCTCCATGTCCCTGAGAGCAAGGCTAATAATACAGTCGGCTTGCTGGCTGTAAGGTTATTTGTAGCCTTCTCTCAGCTAGCTCTTCACTGTTAATACATGACCCACTTGTCTGTCTCACAGAGTTTCTTGGTTCTTGTGCCCAAGCCGACTATAAGCTTACAGTCCGCTTCTCCTCTCTCTCTCTCTCCTCCAGCGTAGTATTTAGCTAGCTTACAGCCTGTTATTATACTTGCTCTCATGCGACGGCCGGTGTAGCTCGCCCATTCAGCCCCTGGTGGCCCCGGCATGGCAAGGCCCCCCTCGACCCCAAGCACGGCAACAAGTGATGCTCCGTTAATGTGTGGTGCAGTTGTGTAGCGCGACTACTTCGTCCGGTGAGGTTGCCCGATGCATGGAATCGGGAGAGAAAGGGAAAGGTGATGAGTTGATCTCCTCTTTTTTTAGGGATCGAAGGATACCTTTTCAATTGAGAAAAAGAATTAGAAAAAGGGATTGGAAAGAAGATTTGTTGGAGCCTTTTTTTTTTCTTCAATTCGATCCACTTTATCACTGGCACAAGGACATGATGTCACTTTTTCTTAATCTGGTGTAGATGCTCTTATGCGGTTACACAACGCATGTAACACACCATTTTAGAACACTTGGAGCTATAAGTTCCACAACAACATATGATCCACTATTTTTGGGGCGTTTTCATTCCAATTGAGCTACATGACCAACACACACATATGATCCACCGTTTGGAGACGCTTGGAGCTACATGATAATGTATCCATGGTGTATGTCCATGGCATGCATGTATGGTGGGCTATCCACGGTGTGTGTCAACAACTGGTCAGAGTTGCATATGCTCGAATTGGTCGGGATTTAATCCACTTGAGTTGGTAAAGTTTTATGCGCTCGAGTTGGTCAGAATTACTTGTGCTTGAGTTGGTCAAAGTTTCACTCAAATTTCTCGGAATAGAGAGAGAGAGAGAGAGAGAGAGAGAGAGAGAATGGAGGTAATGGATAGTGTAATGAGTTTGAGGCACTTAATATTGGATAACGCTTCTCTTTGCAATAGTAGTATAGAAAGAAAGAGAGGTAGACATTAACGACATGATATCCCTGTCAATATTTGGCCTAGGGGATAGATGTCGTTGTGCGCACAAAGTATTTATCATTGCAACTTTGAACTTGTTGTATTCTGAAGCAAAGATCCAATCACTTATCCAACATAAAGAGGCTATTTTTAATATTGAGATGGGCTGGTAATAGAGAAATTGATAGAATATTAGTTTAGGGTTAATTTTTTTTCTTAATGCAGATGTAGGTAATTTAAGAGCACTTAGAAGGGTAGTTTAATTTTACTTTTTTCTAGCTATTTGGTAATTTTCCGACCTTGAGAGTTAATGTGTATGTTTATTTTGTAGTCAAATTGTAGAGGGGTAGTTTACTTTAATTTTCTATGATTAATGTGCTGATTTCTAGGCTTGAAAATTGACATACTAATACTAAAAATACTAAGATAAAAAAAGGAAAAGAAAACGAGCTAGCTCCATGAAGACGACTTACCAAAATCTTCTACAAAGGTCTGAATTCTGATGGATGGCGTGGAGTTGTCTACTAACGGTCTTATAGTCCGAGTGTCCAGCCAACTTGAGCAGCAAGAAAGCTGGCATGGCAAGGCTTTTCGCCGTCCAAATCGAGACGGAAAAGGTGCCGTCCGGCGAGGTCAAGTCTTGTCCTGCCCTCCTGCATTGCATTGCCCTGTGGTCGGCAGAGCAGGCACGGAAAGCAGCGCAGGAGCAGAGAACCCGCCTGGCGTTTCCTTTGCATTCCACGCGCAGCGCAATGCCACGGAAATGGGTTGGAACGGAAACGGAGGGGGAGTGTGCCGCGTCGTCGCCAGGGGAGGAAAGGGAACCCAAACAGATGATTTGATTAATGGTGGCGTACTTAACCGAGCATTTATATTTAATCCCATCCACCATTGATTAATCGATCGAAGGGGGGAAGATATTAAATAAGGGGATGGCTGGCTGAAGCTCAACTAAACTAATGGCCCTCCCCTCGCGAATAACGCATCTGCTGGCTGCTGCTGCGGCGGCAGCCGCCGATGCCGATGCTGCGATTTCGAATTTCAAATGGGTGGATGGATTACCTTTTCTTTTTCCTTCTGTTTCTGCAACTATGGCTCCGTTCGCTTTTCTGAAAAAACAAGCCGAAACACTGTTCCAAATGATTTATCGGGAGAGAAAAATACTGTTCCGGCTAAAAATAATAAGCTAGAAAAGACGGATTATAAGAGAAGCGAACAGAGCCTATACATACAGTACTAGAGTATTTTATAAACAAACATGAGGATTTTTTTCTCAAAAAAACAAACAAACATGAGGATTTGATTCGGAGGAGTTGGACTTGGCAGGCGACGAGGATGAGACCTAGCGACCTGGAAGGAGGTGAGGGGAGGGGACGAGGGCAGTCCCAATACTAAAAACTACATATAGTTTCTATATCTATTAATTTCAATAGACACTATATATATAGAAACTATAGTTTCTACATAACAATATTTTACCCAATCACATGCATTCTCTCTTCATTCTTTATCAATCACATTCCTTCATGTGTTTGGTTCTCGTGTAGACGTGGTTTCTAACTTAGATCCAATTTCTATGATTTTTGCTTTCTCTCTTGAACAACTACCTTGCCACATCAACAAAATGATTAGAGGTAAAAGTATAATTAATGTTCCTAAAAACTATGGTGGTTTCTGCGTTGGGAGGTCAACGACGACCCCTCCCACGGCGACCCCTCCCTCGTTTCTGCCGCAGCCGCCTCCTAGCAGACAGCGACCCGTTGCTATTCCGATTCCCCACCTCGCAACTCAAGCCCGCCCGCCCCAGGCCGCGTCCGCGTGCATATAAGCAGCCCATTTCCCCTCTGCTTGCTTCGCCTCCCCTGCCGCTGCCCCTGCCCTGCCCACATTTTCCTTCCTCCCGTCGCCGCCTGAAACCGCCGCGCTCTCCGCCCCTGCCCCCCGTCTTCATTTGCGTGCAGGAGCAAGGACGACAAGAAGAAGGCTCGGCTCGGCTCTTCGACTTGGAGAGCAAGGGTCTCATTCTCTCTCTCAGAGGGGAGCAAGAAGAGGATCGGATGGCGATTGACCACGAGTCCCCGTTCAAGGAGCTCCGCCTCAAGAACCGCAGGATCATGGTGAGTTACCTGGCCGGAGCCGCTCATCCCCTTCCTTCTGTCTTCTGTAGCCCCCGGGCCCTGCCATTCTCGATTTGCCTTCTTGCCAGCCAAAAACAACTTGTTTTCTTCCCGTTACTGTTGGGGTTCGGTTTGGTATTTGGGACGAATGCTTACCTCTGTGCGGCAATGGCGGCGATGCCATAGATTGAAGGGCCTAGATTGAACGAGTGTTTCTTGACCGCCTCAGCCCCTTTCTTTGGGATCTCCGCATTGCCTCTCCGATGCAGCCGCGTCTCATTCTGATTGTCTTGCTATCAAATGAATTCCGTGCCGCCCTTCCCCAAGCAATAATTTTTTGAGCGCAAGCAACCAAATTTCTTGGCGATGGTTCCAAGGAGATAGAATTTTCTCTCTCTCTTGCAGGCTACTATTCCATCTTGTTTGTTTGTCAATCCATCGCTGAGCTTTTCTTGGCAAACAGCCAATTCAAATGCTTGGCCATTGAGCAAAGTGGCTGTGCTGCATAGCCTAGTCAACTGACCCTCTTGGTTGTTTTCCGTGCAGGGAGGCGGCGGCCCTGACCCTGAGCCGGAGGAGGAGGCCGCGACGGCGGCGTACGCGGAGCAGTGGCCGCGCTGGCTGCAGCCGCTGCTGTCCGCGCGCTTCTTCGCGCATTGCAAGAAGCACAGCGACTCCCACCGCAGCGGCGAGTGCAACATGTTCTGCCTCGACTGCAGCTCCGCCGCCGCGGGCACGGGCACGGGCACGGGCACGCGCGCCCTGTGCTCGCTGTGCCTCGCGCACGGCCACCGCGACCACCACACCATCCAGATCCGCCGCTCCTCCTACCACGACGTCATCCGGGTCTCCGACATCCAGCGCTTCATGGACATCGCCGGCGTGCAGACCTACGTCATCAACAGCGCCCGCGTCGTCTTCCTCAACGAGCGGCCGCAGCAGCAGAAGCCAGGCTGCGGCGGCGGAGGCAAGGCCGCGTCGGCGTCCGCCAACCTCTGCGAGGTCTGCGCCCGCAGCCTCCTCGACAACTTTCGCTTCTGCTCCCTCGGATGCAAGGTCATCGGCTGCTCCCCCGACGCCGCCAAGGCCAGGAACTGGCTCCTCCTGCCCGCCGACGGCGATGACTCCACGTCCTCCTCCTCGGCCCTGCGCAATGCCGACAAGAAGCAGAGCTTCACGCCACCCACGCCGCAGCCGACCCTGCCGACGAAGCGCCGCAAGGGCATCCCGCACCGCGCGCCGTTTGGCAGCCTCATCGTCGAGTACTAGCTCCCTCTTCCACGGCGGCGGCGGCTGCATTGGCATTGGCACTACACGCGCGCGGTAAAGCAGAAAGTACTCTTCAACCAGCGGAATTGAATCGCACAGTGAATCCATGCCATGCCTGAATCAATCCGCCATTACGGCAGTGGAATGGGATGGCCACCACTTCGGTGGCCTGGCCTGGCCGCCTTCCTTTGCCATGGCACTTTGGTTGGTGGTGCTTCTCGAGGTGGATGCCATTTGCTCGCTGGCTTTGCTTTCCACAAAGGAACGAAGGGAGAAAGAAAGGTGGAGGAAGAATCAAAACTAGCTTTTCATCACTGTTGTTAGGACACAAGATATATATATTTCTTTCTGATAGAAATATATGTACATTTTTAGTCTTGTTATATGTTTCAAATCATCATAGTGGAGCAGTATATCTAGCTTTTGTGATGCTTTTACTAGATTATTAGTATTAGGTTGTCTGAAGAAACCATGTTCAGGAGATAACCATGTTTGTACTACAAGGTACTAGTAATAAGCTATGGAGGTGGTGATTTGCATTTGGCAAGCTCTGCTTGCTTGCAGTGGTTTCAGAGCATTGCTTTTGCTTGTGTGTTCATCTGTAAAAATCATGCATTGCATAGATGAGGAGGATGGATATATAAGGAGAATAATCCTGAACTGAACCAAGTTTCTATGATGGATTATGCGGTTCTGATATTCATTCATTCAGATTGTCATCAAAGAAAGAAGGTTCTCCGCATTTGCAAATTGCAATCAGGTGATGATAGTACTGTGACTCTGAGGAAGCAAGGAAATGCCGTCACGTTACTGCCCAGCAAGGTTGCGTTGATGGAAAGCCACTCTGAATGCGATTGCCTTGCTATCTACGGAGTACATGATTAATCGCCCTGATTATTGTCGATTAGCATTGTTCTTGTTCATCTACTCCTGGATCATTGAACCGAACAATTTGTGTTGACGTGATGCTGATACCTGCACCGTCAGCGACGTCATCGATGAGGCCATTGAACAGCTTGCTTTTTGTTAGCATAGCACTTTAGCTTAAGGCCAAAGAGGGACCGGACCAATTCGCAACCTAACCTACCATGATAAATGAAGCAGGATGGAGGGAACGAAACGAATGGGATGGCTTTATGGTTAACGCCATGAAAACGACATGGAACAGAAGCATCTAATGCGGCGAAGGAGAAGCATCAGCTTCAGGAGAAACCGCAGCAGCAGCAGCTGAAACATATGCCGCTGCCGGCTCACATATATTCTTTCTAGCTTCCACGCGAAACAGCTTGCTTTGGTGCTTCCGTTTCCTCGAGGGGATGCTACAGAGGCGGTGTCATTGGAAAAGGGGAAATAAAAAGTGAGGGTGTGACATTTCCCAAAAGGACAGGGGGGAAAATTGGGAGGGAAGGCGTTATTCATGTACTAAATTCAAAGTGGTGGACGATGTCGACATGGATGTGGACCAGAATTCTTGGCTGGCTTTGGCTGCGCAGGATGCCATATCAAAACATACTCCCATTTTGCATAAGTGCCGATTAGGCCCTGTTTAGTTCTCCAGATTTCCTGAATTTGGCACTATGCAAAAAGAAGGTTCCCCGTCACATCAAACTTGCGATACATGTATGGAGTACTAAATGTTAACGAAATCAAAAACTAATTGCACAGTTTGGTTGTACTTTGCGAGACGAACGTTTTGAACCTAATTAGTCAACGATTGGACAATTATTACCAAATAAAAACAAAATGCTACAGTGTAGCTACAGTAACCCAAAATCCGGCGCCGAATCCGGCCTCCAACTAAACATGGCCTTAGTAGCATCTCCATCTGAGTAATGGTGTCTTTCCAAACAAGGGGAGCCTAGGCTTGAGCGACTTTAGAGAGTTCCCGTTCTGCGAAATTTATTCGTGGATGGACCAAATTTGCTTTTACCACACATGATCGTATAGTAGGTAGCATTAGCTTTTTTTGGATGGTTTATGTTGGAATATTAGGTATTTATACAAAGTTATATTCCAAATATAAATTATTTTCTCATAAACTAGCATACATGATAGTAAATACTCATTGAAACAAATAAAATAGTAAATGATACAATGGTTCGGAAATTATGCCTTTTAAGCGGGACTGGTGTTGGAGCATCAACGATGCTATTACTCGGTATGAACGAGCTTTATTGATGTAGTCGAACTCAGCTAATGTAGTGTAGCATACTCAACACAGTGCAATGGTTTGACAAAGCGATAATCCATACGGCGATGACCGAGGTGGTCGTTTGTAGATGACGTTGTCGTTGTTGCTGGTGGAGGAATGATGTTGTTGATGTCGTATCTTGGCCTCATGGCAACCTGTGGTGAAGAACACGGGTAGTTGCACAAAGCGCTTCCCAAAAACTATTCACTCTGTCTCGGTGCAGGATCATAAGAAGAGGTTTTGCAGATGTCTCAATTACCTGTGCACGCCGATGATCGGGATGGACCAGACTATATTGTTTGCATAATAGAGAGAGGAGAAAATAAAATTGACTATCTTAGTGTTTTCCAAATCTATGGATTCCCCATACAGTGGTTATATATATGGTACATCTTTCCTAGGAGGGGTTGATGTATATATAAGGGGAGGACAACTCTTTACCTCTATATCAACTAGAAATATGGTACTAACTGTACTAAAATTCATTATGAAACACATGAAATTGGGCTTTTGAGATTTTTATAGAATATATATATACAGTTATATATATATAGGGTAAGGCTATTCTGCAGCTGGCCATATAATAAGTTATTCTGTAGCCACCTCCATTTACGATAATTTTATATACTAATTTACGATAAAGTGAATACATATTTACGATAGTTGTGTTACTATAACACATGAGGATATTTACCATAACGTTATAATAAATCATATAGTACGTTATAATAAATCATATAGTAAGGAGTTACTATAATCTCATGAATTAACATAGTAATTATCGTAACTCAAAGTGGCTACAGAATAAGTTATTTTATAGCCAGCTGTAGAATATATATATATATGGGTTTGGAAACTAGCCCATACAAATTCTTACAGTCTATCCACATTGACTCAAGGCCACCAAGTAAAGGATGATGTTGTATTGTTGTGCCATGAAGCTATCTTTTACAAAGACAAGGAGCTGAATGTTTCAACTGCACATATCGCGTTCGTGACGTCAATTGCACTATGATGATATTGGGAACCAGAGCAGTTGGACTACCCTCGTGTCAAGAAAGAAGACATACCAGTAGGAGTATGTATAAAAGGGAAGAGCCTGTGACCTTCTAATCTTTGGTTCTTTCTTTGCCACTGTCCAGTGTCCACTGATGAATGTGAAGGAATGATCATCGATGGATGGAGGCATGGAGACAGAAAAATCAGTCGGAGCCACGCAGCGCAGCCCGCCCGGAGTGCACGTAGCGGCAGCACAAAAAACCTTTCTGTGCATGCCTGGGGGCCCACACGTGGGCAGGCCCCACCCCCCGGCATCCCGTCGCTCGTCGTCAGTCCGCTAGCCACTCCCGTGGTCCACACGTGCGGTTGGGCCATCAACGTGTCGCTCCTCCATTGGTCCCGGCCCGTGGCGGGATGCTCGGGCCCGCGTGGGCCGCCTCCGTGTAAAAAATCATCGCAGCCGCCGCCGGCTTCCCTTGACCCACACCCACCTGTCCACCACCACAGCGCGCCATCGGCGGCCCCAGGCCATTCCCTTCTCTTCTCTCTCCACGTTTGGAAAAGGGACGGTGCCGCTGCCGCTGCCGCTGCCGCGTGGTGAGCCTTGAGGTTGAGGGGGCCCTGTGGGCCGTCCGATGGCACTTGGATGGCCCAGATGCCGCTCCGTGGCTAGCGTACTCCCCACGCGCGGGCTGGGTCAGGGTGCGGGTGACGCCAGCCGGTGCGTGGAGGTGAGGTACACAGGCGTCGCGGCCGCGGCGGTGGGGACGATGACGCCAGCCGGTGCTGATGCCTGATGGCTCGAAACGTGTCTCCCGGGGCGATGACGTGGCGCGTGGTGCGGGGTGTTTGAGGCTTTCGTTGCTGATCCCATTCCCAAGTACTAGTATCCTGTACCCCGGCTCGTAGGTGCGTACGGGTACATCATGCCTGTGATGATGGTGCGGCACAGGAGGCAGGCAGGCAGGCACACCGCATTCTGCAAGACAGACATGCATGATATACAGTAGGTAAGCGACGGACGGACGACGGTACGGTAGGCCGGCCGCGGGCGTATCGATTGGTGTGGTTGGAACGGCGATCAGTGTTGGGATTACGGAATGGATAACATGATGGATTTGGTTATTTATGTAGTGGTTCAGCCTAATCATATGCATGCATCGTTTGTTATTAGCTCCCCAATCACTATGCATGCCTAGGCCATCATCACGCAAGATAAGCTACGCCGTATTCGCTTAGCTTATAAGCTATATTTTTTCAGTCAACGAATATTATTTTTCTCTCATAATAAATCGGTAAAAGATTTTTTCGGTACGACTTATCAAGAAACGAAGCAGAGACACTAAAACTGTTCGGCAAAACATATCTCGCTTATACGCCTTTGGCTTATCGACAACAACCAATAATGTTTTCTCTCACACCAAACCAAAGTAAAGAATCTTTTTCGGTCATAAATTTATAAGTTTAATCCAGCCGAAACGAACATCCAACCCTACCATCAAATTGAAATACATGCATCTGATTATTGATACATGAGGTGCTCGGGCTCGGCTCTAGCTGCAAGCTGCAAAGGGAGAGCACTGTAGCATGCTCTTGGTCTTGGATAGTAGTACTCCGACTCCTACTTCGACTGGAAGGCTGCTGCTACTGTAGCTACAAATGTCGTGCAGCGATTGAGCCATGAGCCAAGCCAAATCGGTCGGTCAGTCAATGGTCAGAGAGTCGGAGATAGCGTCGGACTGGGGCACGGGGAGACTTGGACTAGAAAAGTTGGACTTTGGGCAGCACCAGGCACCAGCATGCAGCGATT